TGAATTATCTATTGAAGTTCAACTGAAAACAACGATAGTTTTTGAGTGATACGAGAAAAATTCCGCCAAATGCTTGTATAATTTCCGTCCAAAGGATTGTCAAAAAGTCGAAGTTTATCTGGAGAAAAAAAAACACTTTGAATTTCACTATATAAAAGAAAAAAACAATATCTAAGCTATCCAAAAATCATCAATCTTTGATTTTAGGTAAAATGATTAAATTAAATTATCTTTTTTGTCAAACTATCAGTTTAAACTTTTAGAACGCTTTTGTTGTAAAAAAAAAAGAGGTGTATTGCGGTCATTGTTTTTTGTTGCCTAAAGATTTCAATTATTATGGAAGAATTGGCTTCTTTGCGGCACCTGTTGATTTTAGGGGATGATTCAGATGCATCACAAAGCAAAGAACCAGCTACTTACTCTGTGATGTACCTAGATCAAAAACGATAGACTTGGAAAGAGCAAAATTTTTTAAATAATAAAAACTTATAACCATCAATTGTAAAAAGAATACTACAAAACAAGCAAACTTTCTTAATGTTGCAAAAAAACTGATAATACTAATGTCTAGCAATAGTTTAAAGGTTTTATTGTGTTTTAAACATATTTTTGAAAAGTATCTTTACAAAAATACAAATAATTTCAGAAAAGGTATCAAATTTACACGACGGAAAATTGATAATTCAAAATTTTTTTTTTATAAAATTATTTTAATAGTTAATGAAGGAAGTAACTTACACTTGTTATCAAATTTTGAGGAAATTTTTATTCGTAGTCTTACAAGTAAAAAAATTGCAAAATCCTACTAATGATGGCTGAAAACTTTCAATGAAAATTAGAGCCGCTTTTCAGTCCTGATACAGGTCTTCAAAACTTTTCTTATATTTTTTAAAACATGTGCTAACGGATGCGATATCTCAAAAATGGAATAGTTGTTTGATTTTCAAAGGAAAATGAAGGAAGAGAAAGATGACGAAGCTTTCAATTGTCAGGGCGAAGCTTTAAGATTACTGATTTTCCATAACTTGATTCAATTTTTTTTTCTCAAATGTTTTATTTTTAAACCATTCTTTCGAACTTTTTATTGTTTTCAGCCTCACAAGAGATAACGTGTGTTAAAAATTAAAATTTGTGTATGCAGAAAAAATAAAGGAATCAAAAATGCCTCACAGTTTCACTCCCTGGAAATGTGAAGGAACCCTATCTTTTAATCTGGCTTATTTTTTTGAGCTTTTCCCTCAATGTTATCAGGTATTATAAAAAAAACAGAATAAATTCAGTGATAGATCATGATGAAAGCTTTTCAATTTTTTTTCAAACATTATTTTGAAAACACAGTTTCTCCCGTTACGGAGTTTCATTCCAGATTTCAGCAAACAAAGCCGCTACTTAGAACAGAAAGATTTATATCAAATAAAAAATCCTAGGTTTCAACCTAGGTTTCAACCTAGGTTTCAACCTAGATTTCAACCTAGTTTCAAAAATTAATACTAATTTTGAAGCCTAGAAATGTTTTTTTTTTAATCATGAAAAGTTCAAAATCCCACAAAAATTAATAGATTTTGCAAAAACAATTGATATTACGAGAAACAATTGATAAAATTTTATAGTCACTTCCTGTATCTCTTGCTACGCGCAGGAAAACATCAACAAAAAATGTTTTTAAAAGACGTTTGTGGTCAAGGTTTCTTATGCCACGTTGCGCTGGAATGTTGCAGATCTTTCGACATAAGGTTGCAATTAAACTACGCTATTAAGCTTAGCTAAGCGAGTTGGCATTTTAACAAGGAACGACAAAATCGAAAACTTCTGATTGAACCAAAATCAGTCTTCAAAAAACATAGCAACTAAAATGATTTTGATAAATTTTTTGTATGGAAATTTCCTCAATAACAGAAGAGTTGATTTTTTGAGTTTATTGAAGTTATTAGTTTCCGGGAAGTTTCTTACGCAAGATTTGTTATCACAGGGATAATGTGCTGCCAGTTTCCAGTTAATTGATCTGATTTTTGCCATTCACAAGCACAAATTAGATAAACGTCGGAAAAAAATTATTTTTTTTTGCAATATTGATATAAAAAAAAACACGACAACAACAATTTGTCACAACAACAATTTGGTTTCTTACAAATTAGAGAAGCAAATTTTTTGGGCTTAAAACAATTAGAAGCAAAAAAAGAAAATCAAACAAGACTGCTCGTATCAGAAGGTTCCGACTGCATGTTAAGGTCTATGGGGTAGTTTTCTTTTTAAAAAAAAGTTGGATGGAGTTTTCCAAAACAAAATGAAATTTTTTTTTGCTATTTTTTTTTGAAAATCATCCTCCAACGATATTTAAAGAAGAAATTAGCGAAGTATTAAATAGACCAAACAGCACGCCTCGCATAAAGTTGGAACGGTTTCAAAGACAGAACAAGACTTCTCGTATATCAGTGCAAAACCCTTAATGTTCCGAGTGCCCATTCTTTTCCGAGTGCCTTAATGTTCCGAGTGCCCTAATTCAAAATATTGAAAAAACTGAGACCAAGTCAAAGTTCAAGCGTAAAACTTTCATTTGCAAGAAAATAATACAACCGATTAGCTAGTCTCAGTTAAGTTCCAGAACTTTGCAAAAATTGATCGATTGCAAAAAGTCTTTTTACATTTGGTTTTAGTTAGTCGATAACTTCAATGGGATAAAAAAATTTGTTGCCACAAACTGTTGTTTCGATTGCCGACTGAATGAAAAAACCACATCAAGCATAATTATTCGTTTTTTTGAAAGTTGGTACAAAAATTTCCGTTTTTGTCTTGTTTTCCTTTGCGAAATGCAAATTTTCAATGCAAAATTTTATTCGATGAACACTTTTTATCGACCTCCAACACAAAATTTTATTTGATGCATACACGTTTACTGGCTTGCCATTAATTGGAGCTCAGGTGGAACATTTTGGTTTTCGAGCTCTGCAAAATTTTATCAAAGTTCTTCTGTTGCAAACATTTTGGGCCGCAAGCAAATGCGTTTTCGGGGCTCGATTTCCCCTCAAATAGCATATAAATTGTTGCAAAGGCCGCTTCCAGCTGGATCTTAAATTACGTATTGCACAATTCAAATATGTTTGAAAGCCAAAAATTTGTTTTGTAATGAGTTGTAAAGGTATAAGTATGGTACCAATGAGTTGTAAAGGTCTAAGTTGATACCTGTTTACTTTAAGCTTCAGCCTACCAAAAATGTACAGCAAGTTAGCGTAAAACAGTACTAGAGGTGCTTCATGGTACTAAAAGTGCGATACTTTTGGGTGGAAAGGGTATTGACTTCCTGAAAGTGGATGCCCGGGTTGAACTCTCAGTGATTATCATCGCTGCATCAGATAAAAATCAGTTGTTTATATTGCTGATTCAGGTTTCGGTCAGCGTCGTTTGTTTATGATCATGCGTGAATCAGTGCTAGTTTCTAGTCTTTTGAGAAAACAAAAAATCACATTACCCCTGGATCCAACCCTCACTATTCAGCTCTTGAAACACCTGGAACTCCGCTGTGCTATCGTTGCAGTTTTTACTCGGAAAGCTGGAAGCAAATATCGAAAACGGACTATTATAACTATACAAGACTGCTCGTATATCAGGGCAAAGACCTGAATGCTCCAACAGCCCTCCCTTTAATTGGTCTCGATTAATTTTTGGTAAAAGGATATATTGGAAAACTATAAATTTTGGAGAATATCGAAGATCAAATGTGAAAATATTAGTCGTACAAAAACAATACAACCAATTGGGAGCTAGCATCCATTCAATTTGGAACGATTTAGTTGCGCGGGATAATTCGCCAAGCTTGAAAATTAGCGTTACGGTTTCAAATTATGAATAAAATCTTTAAAACGCGCGTAAATTAGTCAAGAGCATGGTCAAATTGGCTATTTTCAAACTCCCAAAAATTTGCAAAAAATGATTGGAGGTAAAATACCTTTTTACATTTGATTCAGAAGTCAATATCTTCAATGGGGTATAAATTTTTTTTGTTGGAAACTAGTACTTCGATCTCCAAAAAATGAATGAATAAAAACCACCCAAGCAGGGGCGGATTTAGGGGGGGGGGGCGGGTGGGGGTGTGGACGGACGTTCCTCGCCCTCAGGAATTCGAACCCCTGCCAACCCAAAGGGTCCCTCCCCACTTTGGTACTTTTTAAGAAATCCATTTTTGGCCGACCGACCCTAAAATTTTTCTAAAGGCGCCTTTGGCGCCAATCAATACTAATTTTGAGGGGGAGCGCGCGCCAAAAAAAACGCGTTTTTTTTTGTCAAATTTTTCCAAAAAGTGCCCAAAAACGGCTTTTTTGACCTGTTTTTTCAAAAAATTGTCTGCGGAAAATTTGGCCGCCAAAACAGGGTCTTTTTACTGCTTTGGGAGAGCTCTGAAAATCAATCTGATCGACCTAAAAAAAAAAAAGGTCGTCAAAATTTTCGAAAATTTTTTGAAAATCCGCCCCCCCCCCCCTCAAGAAAATCCTAGATCCGCCCCTGCACCCAAGGATAAATATTCCCGGCCGTTTTTTTCGAAAGTCGGAACAATAACTAAGCAAAATTCAAGTTTCACAGACTTTTTTTGCATCACTGAGTTATCTATCAACGATCAACTGATAAAATTTCCAATGATTTATGTTTGATTCAGAGCTGTAAAAAGAAATATCTTGAGACAAGGCTAAATCAGGAATTTTTATCACTGCGCGATAAACTCTGAGTATTCCCTGCCCCGTCAATTTGACTCCTGGAGCCGTAGCCTTGCAAGAATTTTGCGCGATTCCTAAAAGATGAAAGTTTCTAGCACTTTGTCCTCTGTCAAATATGAATGGTTTAATCGATGAAGAATTGGAACTAAATATTAAGGACTATGACCGCATAAATATGGAATTCGTTACTTACGAGCAAAACGAGTTTGATTTTGATCGAAAATAAGACCACTGCCAATGTTGTTTGTGGGGTGTTGCATTATTCATCTTGAGGTTAGAAATTCTTGGTCAAAAGATAAAAGAGTGTTGAGACCACCTAGTTTTGGTTACTTTACTGATAACGGCCATGAAAATAAACATATACTCATGATAATGCTATTTTTACTTTTACTCTTATTTTAAAACTTGTCCCAATCAGGCAGAATGAACCAGTTTTACTTTAGCTTTGTCGCAGTAATTGCAACTTCAATCCACTCGGGTAAAAATTGAAAAAATTTGCAATTATTGTTCCGACTTTCGAGTAGTGTTTTTTTCCGGGTGCTCGGGTGGTTTTCAACAAGCCATTCTGATGGAAATTTTAATATCAGTCAAAAAGTAGTGTTCTCTTGAGGTCAAATTTGAAACATTATTGTACCTGTGATCATTTTTTCTAATATTATGGGGTTTTGAATATTGCTAATTTGGCCAACCTTGAATAATTAATTACTGATATTTTCTGCGCTAATGATGCATAAACGGCTATCTAATCCGTCGTAAAAATCGTTCCAAATTGGTTGTAACAGTCTATTTGTCAGATTGGTT